TTTCTCATATCTACCCAACATCACTAAGAGGGGGTCAAGAAATAACATCTTGAGTAAGGGAAGATGAAGGAATAAAGTGGAAAAATAATGAAGTATCTACTTTCCTTACTGTAATTTTCCAAGTACCATATCAGGGGTCCAGGGGAGAAGCTTAAAAGAGGATGAGACAATAAAAGATTTTGTGGTTTTGTTTTGTTTCTTAAGTTTGACTAGGCTTTTGTTCATCAGTTCTACTGGTAACCTAAAGATTGATTTATCAGAAGTTTTTGTCCAGGGGCAAGGATGGAAAATTCAACACAGAATTTAACAGGCTGTTGCAGAAGAAAAATACCATCATTTCACAATTTCACCCACTAAATTCAGGTTATTCAATCAACAAATACACATTTTCAAGTTGCATTCTAAAACAGTTTTACAAATTTATAATATCATCAGCAATGAAGGATAATCAGTCTGATGATATTCTCGCTAGCTTTAAACACTCTATTTCTGTATTTACCATAATTTAACATGTGAAATAGGATCTTAATTTATGATACTTTCTTATTTTTATCATAATTAAACAGTTTTCATTGGCATATCTGCTATTTTTATTTGCTCATTTATACATTTACTATAACATCGACCAATAAATTATTGTTAATGATGCTAATTATTTTCTTATAAATTTGCATGAGGCATTAAGAGATGAACTCAATCCCCTATTTAATGTAACCATCACTGTAATATGTGGCTTGCCTTTCAACAGAAAATAATTTTTTTACATTAGAAATTTTTTAATGTATTGAAATTTCAACTGTCAATTTTTTCTTTAATTTCATACTCTTAGGAAGGAAATGTCCATTTGTTTCTTTATTCTTTTGTCATGAGATTTCTAATGTTTAAATGTTTATTTTCCATCTAAAGTTTATTTGTGTAAAGCTCAGAATCCGATCAGCATGAGTTGAGTATAACAAATTGGCTGGAAAAAACCTGTTGTTTGCAGGATATTTCAAGTTTCATCAATATTCATATTCTATTAATATTTTAAAGCCCAATTATTCTCTCTCTCTAGCAAAGGCTGAAGTGACTTTTAACAATAGATTTTCTTTCCAGAAAAGAAAAAAAAAATCCAAACAATTTCTCCCTTTGTAAGTATAGAACTGCCTAAGCTCAGTCTCTCTTTTTCTGCCACATTCACCCTCTTCCTCCCACCCTCACCACCATTAGAATTTACACACCATCCATTGTCGGGGACGCAAACTCCTCTACAGTTTGTTAATGTCCAAGAAAGGCCATCACCTCTGAATCATTTTTTCCCCCCACACATAAATCCTTGGGCCAACAAAGAAAAGTGGTGTTTTTCCATTTCCATAATTCCTGTTATTTTAAGTCTATCCCTTAACCAAAGTGGCTTTTTGGTTTTTTTTCCTTGATAACTCACAGGTTCAAATGTAAAAATTTATTATTACAAGGAACAATTATGAGGTTCAAAGCATACTGTGTGCATTCCATGCTCCTAGCTTCTCGTACTGATATACGGAATAAAATATTTGTGGTTGTCTATTCGCATGAAGTGGATGTGATCCAACCGCTGGTGGTGAGAGGCTTAATGAATGTCTGCCTTCGTCAGACCCAACAGGGATCTAGCATCATGGGAGGTTGCCCAAGTGCCATATTGCAGGCATCTCAAAAACAAACTTTTGACCATTTAACTTATTCTTTCCAGTTACTCTTCAACGTCAACAATAACAACCACCAAAGAAGAAAAAATGGCTTTGTTTCTTTTCTTACTTTAACTATTGTCCCGGATTTTAAGATTTCAAGATCTCTTCCCCAAAACATTGAACTAGAGAAACTACTGACCTTTTTGAACACCTTTGGGTTTTGCTTCTTCAGTGCAGCATGTTCAGTATTGTTTTTGTTTTTGTTTTTTTTTTGAGACGTAGTCTCGCTCTTGTCCCCCAGACTGGAGTGCAATGGCACAATCTCGGCTCACCGCAACCTCCGTCTCCTGGGTTCAAACGATTCTCCTGCCTCAGCCTCCCGAGTAGCTGGGATTACAAGCGCCTGCCACCACGCCTGACTAATTTTTGTATTTTTTGGTAGAGACGGGGTTTCACCATGTTGGCCAGGCTAGTCTCGAACTCCTGACCTCAGGTGATCTGCCCGCCTCGGCTTCCCAAAGTCCTGGGATTACAGACATGAGCCACTGCACCTCACCATGTTCAGCATTTTGATAACTGCCTGCTCATAAAGTCTTCCTCATTTGATGAGATACTTCATTTACATGGTTAAATGAAACAAAAACAAAAACAAAACACAACATTCTTAATAGTTGCTATTTTCTTGCTGTCTCTGTTTACTTTTTTTTTTTTTTAATAAGACTAGGACATAGTAGTTCCCTCTTCTATGCTCCTATATAATGTTTGTAACTGCATAATAGAACAAAAAATGTATTTTACTTACTTGTGTGTATGTTTGCCTCGTCTGGAATACTGAGAGCTTTTTGAGGTTACAGATATATCCAGTGCTTTTTATTTGCATAGCACATAACATAAAGTCTAATACATAATAGGTAGTCAATAATGCACTTAAGTAAATGAATTACCTCTGATTTGTGTATGATACTTGGAATGCCTCAAGATTTTTAAATCATCTGCACATTGATATCATACTATCAACAGATCTTCTGCTGTTAAATGTTCAATTAACTGTCAATAATAGCTCTTAATACTCTAAGCAATACTGTCCGACAATATAGCCGAATTTGGCATACCCAGATACTTAGTTTTGTGCTTTTTGGTGTGACAGAGACTGCACATATGCACTAAAATCCATTGGCATTTCCCACTGGGCACACACACACACACGCACGCACACACACACACACAAATACATTTTCTATCATACTTTGCAATTAAATATGGCCATATGACTTAATTGTGACCAACAGAATGTGGGCAGAAAAGATGTTAATTAATTTCAGGCCCATTTTATCACAATATCCCACAAGTGATTCTTGTTGCTTTTTTCTATTTGTCCCTGAAAAGGGAAGGATCTGAGAACCTATAATGCAGCGTTAGGATAAAGATCAGATTAAGGAAATGAATATTCACAAATGTTATTTCAGATAGCCTCATGGAGGCTGATAGATGAGGCTGGAACAATGAAGGTCCAGGTCATGTTGTTTCATGGCAAAACATATGGTAAAACCATTTCATACATTAAATAGAAAGGCACAACACACCTCATGAGCCTGTAAGCCTGTAGTTTTTGGACGTGAGGACAAGAGATTGATGGGAGAGTAACAGTGCCTATTTGCTACTATTGGCCTTTGTTAGCAATATATTACAAGAAAGAGATGAGCACAGACAAAAACAGACTTATTTTGAAGCAGAAATTGAAGTGGATATGTATCCAGAGATCAATAACTTTTAGAGTTAATAAACCTGAGTGCTTCTGCATCCTAATTAAGACAAATTGGAAAAGGCTCTGAATGACAACAATCAAATAACATTATTGGTAAAAAAAACAGACAATTTAATACAAAGATTAGATTAAGGAAACAGTATTCAAAAATATTATTTCAGATAGCTTCAGGGAGGTTGGGAGTGGCTTAGAAGGTTATAGGTGAGGAAGCAAAAAATAAATCAGTCATGAGAATTATTACAATGAGAAAACTTCAAATGTAGTTATTGGTACATGGAATTGACTAGAAGCAAGACAATTTAAATGTCTATTAGTTTGGGGAAAATTGTTTCCCTAAGGATTCTATGAGCATGGACTAAAAATATTGACTTCTTAAGCTTTAAGATTAGTACCGGGTCCCCCAACTTTTATCAGCACCAGACATAATCCCCAACTCCCACTTCCTGAAGGTCATGGGAAAGACAGACAAAGAAGAATCTCTCAGAGGCTGGAATCAGCAACCATGGAGAACACTGAAGAAAGGAGATTCTAGGGAGCATAATTTAGGAATAAATAAAAGATTTTTTTTCCAGCCAAATAATAGGACCCTTAATATCTGCCTAGCAGGATTTCAAAATTGCTATGGTTCAGTAACAGCTGAATGCCTCTCATTTTTTCCTTTGCCAAACAGGTGCCTAAAATGTTTTCCTGTATCTATGTATTGTCCCTGCATGATATGTGTATGCATGTGTGCGTGTGTGTGTGTGTGTGTAAATACATATCATTTATAGGTTCAAATAAGCCACTTCAATTCTGGTCTAGAGAGATGAGCATCACTCAAGGATCCTGGACTTTGAGTTTTATGCAATGACTTGTTGGGACCTTTAGTTTTCCACCTTCAGAAAGGACACCTGTGTTCCATGTGTGGCAGGAAAAATGGAATAGATGTTTGGTGAACAAATGGATAGAATTGGCACAGACTGACTAGCTCTTCATCAAATGTATTTTCTTCATGTTCTAAGTACATAGACTATATTTCCTAATGTCCACTGTACTTAGGTGTAGTCACATAACTAAGTATTGTCAATGAAATACAGGTAGTAATAATTTTCACTGCCTCCAAGCCTGGTGTATAAAACCACACACACAAAAACCTCTCTCTCTTTCTTCATGTATTAACTGAACAGGGAAGGCTATCAAGCTCAGTAGGAAGGCAGATACAGAAGATGAAAAGAACCCGAGTCCCTGAATAGTCACTTAGAGGATTGCTTTACCAGAAACTCCAGATGTGAATAACAGATAAACTTATTATTTAGTTAAGCCATTGCTATTTGTAGCTTTTCTCTTACACTCTGTGTTAAGCAGAATGACAACACACCCTCAAAGATGTCCACTTCCTCATCCTTGGAACTTGTGAATATATTAAGTTATATGGCTGAATGGGGGAAATTAAGGTTGTAATGGAATTTAGGTTGCTTGACAGCTGATCTTAGAAGAGACAGGTTATCCTGGGTTATCCAGATAGGCTCAATGTAATTACACGGTCCTTAAAAATGGAAGAAGGAGCAGCAGAGGAGATGAGAGTGATGCCATATCAGGACTCAACTCACTGTTGCTGGCTCTGAAGATGGAGGACAGGGGATAAATGCCAAGGAATGCAGGTAGCCTCTAGGATCTGGAAAAGACAAGGAAATGGATTCTCCCTTAGAGTCTCCAGCAGGGAAGGTAGCCCAGTCAACGCCTTGATTTTGGTCCAGTGAAAAACACTTCAGACATCTAACCTAAGATCCAGAAGATAATAAATTTGTACTATTTAAGCCTCTAAGTTTGTGGTAATTTGCTACAGCAGCAATAGAAAACTAATACACAGCCATTAACATTACATTTATTAAGTTTAAATTACATGGCATTGTATAAATCCCTCATGCATCGCCTCCTTTCAGCCCATCAAAACATATTCTCATATTGATAGTTCATATTCAGTATAAATTTCTATATAACATAAAATTAATACCTTCCAAAGAGATTTGAACTTTAGGGGGAAATCAAGTATTATAGTTAACACATAAATCTCTACCAGATGGAAATTCAATCTGGCCTAGAGACTGGGAGAATTATTTTTGCATCTGAATGTCAACATATAGTTCTCTTAGTTTACCTTTCAATGTTCCAGAACCATGCTTTCTCTGATTTTAGATTACCATTTGTTAAGGAGTAAGGAAGATGGCTGGGTGTGGTGGCTCACACTTGTAATCCCAGCACTTTGGGAGGCTGAGGCAGGCGGATCACCTGAGGTTGGCAGTTCGAGACCAGCCAGACCAACAAGGAGAAACCCTGTCTCTACTAAAAAAAAAAAAAAAAAAAAATTAACCGGGCATGGTGGCACATGCCTGTAATCCCAGCTACTTGGGAGGCTGAGGCAGGAGAATCAGTTGAACCTGGGAGGCAGAGGTTGCGGGGAGCCAAGATGTGCCACTGCATCTCCAGCCTGGGTGACAAGAGTGAGACTCAGTCAAAACAAAAAAACAAAAACAGAGTAAGGAAGCTACTAAAACTGGGGAATTGAGCTCTAAGATATCTAAGCAACAACAGAGATAGGTTGTCTGAAAACAGAAAAATTACTTAACCACTCTGGCTTGTTTTCCTTTCTCCAAGATGAAAGCCATTAGTGTTACACTAACTGGTCTGGTAGATCTCTCTTGGTTCTAAGCTGCTATAAAGCAGATGAGTCTATATTTCTCTAGTGGCTCCCATGCAAATTAGTTTATTAGCAAATATAAATTTTTACATGTTTGACTTTTTCCCACTCTAATTGTTCTTATAACTGATATGCAACTAAGAAGAAATGTGACAATAGTGGGTAGGACAGAATGACCATGCAGGTATTCAAATTCCTTCTTCACTTAATTGTCAACTGGTTAGGAGAAGTGGGATAACTTCCTCTTCTGATGGAGGGAAAAACTGACCAAGGTATTGTACATAAAGTTTCATCAGCAGACATCAGACTTGGTTCATACACGTGGTAGTAACAATCAAGCAAAGATGGAGGAAAGACAATAGACAGCATCTGGGAAATGGTACTGAGAAAGAAGTGGGACACAAAATCTCCATTAGCAGAGAGACAACAGCAGTCTTTGTGCGGTTTACTGTTATAAAATTCTGAATAGGAATTCTGTTTCACAGCTGTTACAAGAGAATTGAAATACAACTGTGTCCAATAATTGAAAAACAGCTGTTCATTCGCCATGTCTAAAAACAATTATATAGGAGAAATTGGCTTGGCAGTACAGCAAAAAAAAAAAAAAGTGTAATTACTTTTAATTGCCAAAGTGGGGAAGCAATCCGACAGTGGAATACGAAATTGTATGACATCATGAAATCTACTTTTCTGATAGTTGAAAAAATGGTTAACATTTTCTCTGCCTGCTATGCTCTCTGAAGGCAGGAAGGAGTCCCAGTTCATCTCTTATAGGCCCTTGGAGACAGCATTGTGATGCCAGTTTCATTTGTCTATTTTTCCTCCATATATGTACACATAGTGTGCACATAACTGATACGTTTTCTTAAGACTTCCCTTTACAGTAGCTATTTCCCACTCTGCTGCAGACGAACAAAACCAGAAAACTAAAGGGAAATCAGTGTGAGTCCTGAAAGTTGTGCCCTGCAGTGGGGATTCCGCATGAAACACAAAGACAGGACACAAAATATGCTACTTTTCAAGTCACATTTACAAGACTTCTCTTTTACTGTAATTCACTCACCAAAAATACAATTGCATAGTCCTTTAGCATTCTGCAGTATTTCTCAGCACCAGCAAACAGGCAGTAAGGACTTTTTCACCAAGAGCCAAGAATAAAGAGAGTTTGTAGCCGTCTATGAGGATCTGGTCACTCTGAACCGTCAAGTAATCATGGGAAGTTTATTGTCAATGCTCGGGTAGCAACCCTTTTGACTATGTGATGACCTGCTTTTTTGCTTGCTTTCTATTAAAAAACTGTATTTGATTCTGTGCAAATTCATAAACCAAACACAAAATTCAGGGGTTAAACAGTTCAGTAAACAGATGAGACAGACATGCTAAAACATAAAACACTGGAAACATGCTATTTAAATTCAGACTAGTTAAACAGGATGCCCTTTTGTCACTGACCAAATTGTTAAATTGGTGCCTTGGCAAGAGCCTTTTGTACTCGTCTGAAGATTCCCGGGATCCAAACCTCTGTGGTATTAAAACAAACAGAGTAAATATTTTCCTTGAAGTTTACATCCAAGATCTAAATATTTCCAAGCATGTCAAACTCACTTTTCTCCACCGCTCCCTGCAGGGTCCATGTAGACTTCGGCTGCCAAAGAACCCAGTTGAACTTGCCTTGGGAGGGGCCTCATCCCTGAAGACAGGCAAAGCTCAGAGCCAGAGGCAGAGCGTCTTGCAGCTGTGCTGCTCTGCTTGGCAGAAGGAACTCACGCAGCAGCAGGTGTGCTATCTGCTGACTTCAACACACAGAGAGGGGGGAAGGCTCTGTCCTTGCTGCTTGCTCCCTGAGCTTGAGTATCTGCCATTCCCTTTTACCTATTTGCAAAGAAGTGCCAAGAACCTACCCTGGGAAACCTGCATTTCTCTTCATTAGCTTTAAGGGTTTAAGTCAGCTTTCTAGCTACATAACTTTTAGCTCTACTTAAGCTAGTTACATCTGAAAAATAAAGTGATTCCTCTGCAGAATCTAGCACAGAATATTAACAAATTGTGTTTCTCCTCTGTCTCTGTCTCCCTTGTTTCATATTGTTTTCCATCCAACATGCAGCTGAAGTTCTCTTGGAAAGAGAATACATAGAATCACAAATGAGTACCATATCAGTATTTTTTTGGACCCTGTATCTTGGGGACTTACTCTGAAAGTGTCCCAGCATAATTGCAAAGACAATGCTCTGCTTTTTTGTTTTTTCTTCTTTTGTAGTTACTGACAGTAAATTTTCAAACTGCCATCTCAAATTCAGTGTAATTGAACTCAACCAGAACTAGTGAATATAACTGTAGGTACCAATACCTTTGCCTTTAAACTCAATGAGGTACTTCAAAGTACCTCATCCCATCTCTAAGAAACGCACTTACATTTACCTGGAGTTACCTAATATGAATGAGCCCGGTGCTGCACTGGCCAGACCTTCCTTCACTGAAGAACCTGTTGCTCTTCAGCTGTAGGCAGATGGCCATAAGCTGGCTGCCCTTCCAAGGACTGCTTCTGTTACAGAGAGCAGCCTTGCCCGAGGACACACCCCTTTACAGGCAGCCCACATCCAAAAACTGATCAAGGAGGGAGTGTAAGGGCCTGTTCACTGCAACTCATCTTGAGAAAATGCTGAAGGGTCATTCGAGCTCTAGAAATCTCTATGAGATTCACTGCAGTTGTGATGGGTCTCCATGGAAGCGCAGCTTCTTTCTCTGCCCTGTCTGCTTCCTTCCCCTACCTCGAGAGGTGTTGATTCCAAGGATGCACCTTAATTAACATAATGAGCTCTTAATTTCATCTCAGAATCTGCTTCCCAGGGACCCTAATCTTTGCCACATAGGCTCATACGAAGCCCATTTTGTGGGGAGTCATGTCTGCGTTTGATGCAGGCATCCAATCAGTCAAGTATTGGATTAAATGGGTACAATGTATACATTTATATCCATAGTAAAACGCAAAAAGAATATCTACTCCCATCTTGGTAGAATATATAGTCAAGTTAGAGAGATAGTATAAATATATGAAAAGGTAACTCATTATGTAATAAACGATAAGTATCAAATGGTTACATGGCATTAGGACTTATCAGAAGGGAAGACTGATTTTAGGACAAAGTAGTTGCTGGTTCTTTGAGGAGCAGTAAGTTTATTGTAACCCATTATTATCTGCAGACTGTTCTTCTATGAAAGTCAACTCCTCAAGACATACAAGAGTCTTTACCCTAGAAATGAGATTGATTCTGAGTAGCCTTCCTGTTGCTCTGTACCTCATGATGAAACTGCCGGACAACTCACAATGGCAGTAGGTCAAAAACATACTTCCATAAATACTTTTTCCATGAGATCTGCTATAGCTGGCCCTCTTCTTCCTGGGTCGCTTAGGTTCCCAGGGACTCTCCACTTTCCCCATTCAAACTCCAAAGCATTGACACATAGTGAAGTTGTCTTGCCCTTCTTCTGGCTGAGCTGGTTTGCAGGGTTGGCCTTGCCAATGCAAATCCCCAAAGCTAGGTCTTGCTCTCACCTGTCTTGACCTTGCCTTTCTTGGTACCTTCATTGTTTCCATTTCTACCTCTAAGTTCTCATCTCCATTTTGCCCCCTCTAGATTCTATCAACCCCCTGTGATCTCCCATCTCCAATGTAGAACTAACAGAATTTGCTCTGCCTTTTTACAAAATCACAGTCCAACATGGAGGCCTTGGGCAAATCATTTAATCTCATTCATCTTCAGTAGTCTCATTTACAAAATGAGGATACTAATTCCTACCTCCTGTAGATGAGAATGATAATGATTAATGAACTGACTTGAAAGCAGGAGTCTTCTGGGAAGAGGTAAAAACAAAACATAAACATAAAATTCTTGCAAAAGCCATTACCTAGATTTACTATATACCAAGCACTGCGTAAAGTGTTATATCATAATATATAACCCTCCAGTAGAAATTCCAAGGAACTGTGACAAAAAGCTGTGTCACTTGGGAATTAAAATGTGATTTATCTTTGGTTACTCTGACTCTATTCCAGATCTAATCTGAAACAACTCCCTGCCCATTCTTGCACAAGATCTCTTTCCTTTCTTCTTTTTCATTCTCAATCCTACCCCATCCTAAGTTAAGCCTTAGCAATTTATAACTCATCTAAAATGCTGCCTGATTGATTTTCATGACTCTGATTTGAATGTATCTGCATAATTCCCCTGCCCCCCTCAGGCTTGGAGCCAGGTAGGGAATAGCTTCAGGTGGGAAGTGTCCTATCTGCTAGGATGGGGTTCTTGTTATCCACAGTAGAAATAATAGCAGCAAGATCTGAAGTGGTATCCTGGAGCAAGGCCAGCATCAAAGCTGTGATACAAAACAAGATTGCTAATCTGAGGAGGACATAAAGCATAGAACATGGGCGAATACTAAATCAAAACAGAGCATAAATAAGGACAACCAATGAACAAGCTATACCTAAACACATATGAAAAGGTTAAGTGGGAACTATTTTTAAAGTGGAGAACATACGACTTTTTAAACACTTGCAAAAGTCATGCAACCATCATTACAACCTAATTTCAGAACATTTTTATCACCTCAAGAAAAAAAACCCATATCCATCAGCAGTCATTCCCTGTTTCCCCCTTGCCCCAGCTTCTGGCTACGCCTACTCTGCTTTCTGTCTCTATACATTTGCCTATTCTGGACAATGTGCTTTGGCTTCTGGTTGGCATTGTTCTCCTGGATGTATTGAAAGAAACTGAAATGTGGTGCATTCTTTCCTGTATGCTTCCATCAATAATTCACATCATGTGTTATTCTGATTTTGCTATCCCTTTCATCAAGATTTTAACACCCTCTTCTCTTCTCTTCCCCTCCCTTTACACAACTGTTTCCATTGCTCCTTTGTTTCACATTAAGATGCTTCATCATAAATTCCATCCAACAATTTTGCACCCCCCTACTTCCACATGTGCCCTTTAATAGGAATCCGAAGTGTACATATTATTTAAGACTAGATCTAATGCCACCTCCTCCACTGTGTTTCCCTAGACCAATCCAAGAAGTTAGCTCTTTTTCTTTTATGACCTCTATCTCCTGGAGGACTCTGCACCATTCCTTGGTGGGTACAAATATGCACTCCTCTGCTGTAGTTATTTCTCCCCCTTGACTGTAAGTTTCTTAATTAATGGTACCATGTTTCTTTCTCACCCACAGTTCTGGCACATTGTGAGCATATAGTAAGTGCTTGCTGAATAAATATACAAACAAAAAGGAAATTGCATGAAATACGCTAAATAACTCCCACTTAGATAACTGTTACATAGAATTCTGGAATTAAAGACCAAAATAATACTACCATATAACAATACAGTGATTTGACTAGATACTTCTAAACTTTGGATACAATAAAATGTGTTAGCGAGCATTATAAATTGTTGGAATACACTTAAAGGCACCTAAATTAATGGGAAACTTGTCACTTAAAAATAATATAATCATTAATTTTAAAGTGAAGGAAGATCATTTGCCCAGTGACTTCAGATTGTTATTCTACTGAGATTTAGATTTTGATAAAAATTTGTAATGAAGAATCTGTATTCAATAGTTTCTCCTTTCTTTTCAAGCTATCTTCTTCAACCCCTCCATTCTATTTCCCTTATGTGAAAATGATAATACATTGCCATAATAATTATTCCTATACACACACAGATCCACTTATAACCTTCATTTTTCTCAACACGATTTGTCAGCCTGTCTTTCCAGCGAGTGTGCTTTGAAAGTGTGAAGTTCACTCAAACAGGTTTCTTTCTTTTGACACACATCTTAAAAGGTCATTAATTAATTTATTGTGCAAACATTTAATGGAAATCCTGTCTTATGTGAAGCACAGTGTTATAAAAAAAATAACATGCTGGCCAGGCGTGGTGGCTCATGCCTGTAATCCCAGCACTTTGGGAGGCCGAGACGGGTAGATCACAAGGTCAGGAGATCGAGACCATCCTGGCTAACACGGTGAAACCCT